TACCAGTATTAAAAATATCTAAAATCAGGACAGTAAATAAAGAACAACACTCAGAAAATGGGAATTCCAGACAAAAAAAAAATCAATCAGAGCCAGCTAATACCTCCCAACAAGGGATTCTCCCAGGCAGCAACTAGCCAGGCCTTGAAACTCCAAGGCCATTCAATTTATTTATTTATTTACTTATTTTGTTTGTATACCGCCCCTTTCAGCCTTCCGGCAACTCCAAGCGGTTTACAAGGCAAAATTCAATGCCACAAAAACACAGGACAATTTAAAAACATTAACAGCAATAAAATCAAAACAATGGCAGTAAAAACATAAGTCAGTAGATCCTCAATAAAAAACGTCCAATTCCATCGTATAGTTCTTCCGTTTTCCTATATCCATTAATCAATATTGGCAAATTCTTGCTCGAACAGCAACATCTTAATTTTTTTCCCAAATGGTAGGAGTGAAGAAGCCGATCTAATCTCCTTAGGGAGGGCGTTCCATAGGTGAGGGGCCACCACTGAGAAGGCCCTGTCTCTCGTCCCCGCCAGACGTACTTGTGACAAAGGTAGGAGCGAAGAAGCCAATCTAATCTCCTTAGGGAGGGTGCTCCATAGCCAAGGGGCCACCACTGAGGCCCTGTCTCTCGTCCCCACCAGACGTACTTGTGACAAAGATGGGACCGAGAGCAGGGCCTCCCTAGACGATGTTAAAGTCCTCGATGGTTTGTAAGGGGAGATGCATTCGGACAGGTAAACCGTTTTGGGCTTTATATGCCAAAGCCGGTACCTTGAATTGGGCCCGGTAGCAATTCAGTGCTAATCAAGGTAGCAAACTGCAACATTCACACCTGCCTTAAGCAGACAAGAGTTCTTTCTCCCACCTTGGACATTCCACAGATATATAAACCTCACTTAACTTAGTTTCCAATACACCCCTCAACCTCTGATGATGCCTGCCATAGATGTGGGTGAAACATCAAGGGCTTTCTAGCACCCACTTTTTGCTTGTAAGTCAGAGCACAGTCCAGACTGACTCCCAGGTATTTTGGGGTGCTGCAATGCTCCCGTGGGATTCCTTCCCAGGTCATCCTGAGAGGTTGAGATGCTTGTGTTCTTGAGATCAAAAGCACATGTCTGCATTTTAGAAAGATTAGGAATCAGCTTCCCCCCCTATTTTAGGCAGTAAGAGTGCCTAAATCTTCGGAGAGCTTCAACCATTTCAAAGTTCCCTGCTTGGGCGGTGATGGCACGATCATCAGCATAGATGAAACTCTCTGTCCCTTCTGGCAGTGGCTGGTCATTTGTGTACATGTTAAACACTGATGGTGCAACCTGGCTTTCCCTGTAATAGGCAGTAAAAGCACCTAAAGCTTCAGAGAGCTTCTGTTCAACCATTTCAAAGCTCCCTGCTTGGGTGGTGATGGCAGGATCGTCAGCATAGATTAAACTCTCTGTCCCTTCTGGCAGTGGCTGGTCATTTGTGTAAATGGTGAACATGGATGGAGCAAGCACGCTCCCCTAAGGCAGGCCGTTCCTCTGTTTCCGCCGTCTGTTTCTCTGGTGCTGGAACTCAACAAAAAAGCTCCTGTTTTGTCTCTGTGCAAAGCATTGGATCATGAATTTGAAGCCAAGTTTGCAAAAACTCTATAGGACTTTCTCCTAAATATCCTACTGAACTAAGTATTTCCGCCCTTTTTTTCATACCATTTGTAAATACGACAGAAAGAAAGAAAAGACGCATATTTACAGTGTTTTAATGCTGAGTATTTTTCAGCGGCTCTGCCACTTCCATCCCTCCCTCCTCCTTTCATGCTTGAAGTGTCAAAAAGTAAAGATTTTAAGGAAGAAAAAGAAAGAGAGATTAAGCCAAATTATATTTTAACATATAATAATATGTCAAGCACTTTTTGAAAAATGATATTTGTGTGTGTGCGTGTGTGTGTGTTTCGGCACTGGATTATTTACATGGTGACCCATCGAAATAAGTTTTGTCTGGTTTTCATAAATCGATCCCTGAAATGTAAAGACGTCCTTGGTGTTTTGTTTATCTTTTTGGATCTGTTTGTTTTGTTGTTTTGTTTTCTGGCGACAGAAATCCTACCAAATAAAAGTGCTTCCATTTGAAAGCGGGTCGCGGACCCAGCGGTGAGTTGCTTTTGTTTCAGAAGGTACTTTTAGTACATTTAAGTGGTCATCGCTCATAGTCAACACAGATTTATCAAAAGCACATCATACCAGATGAATCTGATCTCATTTTTCGATAGTCACAAGCTGGGTAGATGCGGGGAAAGCTGTGGATGGAGCGTACCTGGATTCCAGGAAGGCCTTCCTTCAACAAGGTCCCCCATGACCTTCTGGCAAAGAAACTAGTTCAATGTGGGCGAGGCAAAACTATGGTTAGGTGGATCTGTAATGGGTTATGTCATGAAACGGGGCTGTGAAAGGGAGGGCCAAAGGGAGGGATATGATGTGAGAGAGAAACCAACTGTCAGATGGAACTTTGCTTGTAACCGTACTGTATGCTTTGAGACATAAAGCCCTTCCATGGAAACGGGGCTGTGAAGAAGAAGGCCAAAGCAAAGGATATGAGGTGAGAGGGAAACCAACTGTCAGATGGAACTTTGCTTGTAACCGTACTGTATGCTTTGAGAAATAAAGCCCTCCCATGGAAACCGGGCTGTGAAGCGGAGGGCCAAAGTGAGAGATATGAGGTGAGAGGGAAACTGTCAGATGGAACTTTGCTTTGTAACTGTACTATATGCTTTAAGACATAAAGCCCTTCCATGGAAAAGGCTGTGAAGAGGAGGGCCAAAGTGAGGGATATAAGGTGAGAGGGAAACCAACTGTCAGATGGAACTTTGCTTGTAACCGTACTGTATGCTTTGAGACATAAAGCCCTTCCATGGAAAAGGCTGTGAAGAGGAGGACAAAGTGAGGGATATGAGGTGAGAGGGAAACCAACTGTCAGATGGAACTTTGCTTGTAACCATACTGTATGCTTTGAGAAATAAAGCCCTTCCAGTCTGTCGGTAAGGTAATTTCATCTCTAGAAAACTGCAGATCAGGACAAAGGTTAAGAAGTAAAGATTGTCAAAGGCTTTCATGGCCAGAATCACTGGGCTGTTGTAAGTTTTTTCGGCTGAAAAGTGGACTATTAAAGAACAACACTTATTTCCTGGTCTACTGTGAAGCTAGGAAATATACACCTTTCCGGTGTATATTTGAATGTGGGAGAGGATTGCCATGGAAATGGAAGCAATGCAGGGGAGGGGCCTGGGTGAGGTGTGAGGGAAGTAAACTGTCAGTTGCAACTTTGTTGCGTTCGCTACTGCATGCTTTTGAATTAAATCTTTCCAACTTGTGAGGTAATTATTTTGCCAGAAAGCAACAGATCCGGACAAGTCAAGTGAACGAACCAAGAGGGTGATTCTCCCTAATGCTTCCTCTTCTTCATCCTGGAAAGAAGTGACAAGTGGAGTGTCAGAAGCAGGGTTGCATCCTGGGCCTGGTTCTGTTCGACATCTTTATCAATGGCTTAGAATAGTGTTTCTTAATCTTTGTCCTGATCTGCAGTTTTCTAGAAACGAATTTACCTCGCCATCAGATTGGAAGGGCTTTATTTCTCAAATATATAGTACAGTTACAAGCAAAGTTCCATCTGACAGTTGGTTTCCCTCTCACTTCATATCCCTCACTTTGGCCCTCCCCTTTATAGCCCCATTTCCATGGAAGGGCTTTATTTCTCAAAGCATATAGTACGGTTACAAGCAAAGTTCCATCTGACAGTTGGTTTCCCTCTCACCTCATATCCCTCACTTTGGCCCTCCCCTTTATAGCCCCATTTCCATGGAAGGGCTTTATTTCTCAAAGCATATAGTACGGTTACAAGCAAAGTTCCATCTGACAGTTGGTTTCCCTCTCACCTCATATCCCTCACTTTGGCTCTCCTCTTCACAGCCCCAGTTCCATGGAAGGGCTTTATTTCTCAAAGATTACAGTACGGTTACAAGCAAAGTTCCATCTGACAGTTGGTTTCCCCGTTATAACACCCTCAAATTAAACCTTGCTGGGCTGCTTTTGCCCAAACAGAAGGACAGAATAGGCAGAGGTTCGGAATGCAAGCGGGGTTTTTATTTGGCTCGTGTTTGGTTTTGAAAACACAAGAGATGTTGCGTCCGACCTGTTCCTTTACAGCATGAAGACGACAGCCATGTGACACCCCCCCCCCCAAAAAAAAGAGAAAAATCCATGGCTTAGAGGTGGGGGGACGGCAACGAAGCACAGAAACACCAAGAAACATCGAAGAGGTGTGTGTTTGGATTGTCTTTAGTGACCCCTCGGCTGCCTTTCGGCCGATCCCCTTCCCCTTTGAAGCGAGATGGTCTGTGGTCACATCCCCGGACGGTATGAGTGTGTTTCAAGGAGCAAAGCCTTCACAAGTATCCAATGCAACGGAGCCTCCTATTTAGGATCAATATAATCTCTGCTCCCTATTATCAATGATCAGAACTGCTGCCCCGCTTGACCTTTTTCCTAGGGTCTCTGCTTTCTAGGTTGCCATTCCGGGCAAGGACTGACCCCTTAGAGAGGACTTTGTCTTCTATGGATGGGAAATAATGTGCTCCGTCCATTAAAAAATAAATAGACGTGGGGCCGGGAATGGGGAAAAGGAAATAAAAGGGGTTGGATCCCCATCAATAAATAAAAAACCGCGATTCGGAAGGGGTTAGAAAGCCATCCTGTCATGGGAAGGGGCCACAATCCATACGTCATTATTCTGAAGAGTGGGAAACCCCCCAAAAGGCGACAAAAGGGGATGTTGCCAAGCAGCACAGTCGTCTCGCAGTCCTCCATGTTTGCAGAGCCGTTCGAACCCAGTGAAACCCAGCGAAAGGCGGCCTTTCTTCGCCTGCGAATGAAGCTCGGCGCAAACCGTGCGGGCTTTTGGTTGTGAACACGGGTTAGTTGCAAAGGTACTCACTGTGCGCGGGGACAAGGGGAGGGCGGCGGAGGCGGCAGCAGCAGTGTATGAGTTCCAAAATATAGAAAAAGTGCCTTTCTTCCATCCCGAAGGAGAAGCCGGGGCCCAGCCCAACCTGGAAAGGACAGGAAAGAGCAGCGGAGATAAAATGCAGGGTATCAATAAATATAAATGTAACAATAATAGATGCCAAAATGACATCCTCACCACCATCTATTACTTCCTCTCCCTGAGATAAGACTATTAATCACATATAACATGATACATGGAGTTACAATGCAAGTTAATACCCATGCACAAAATGCAGGTTAAAATTCACTAACAACAGCAACAACAACACTTAATGGCTTGAGGAAAGGTACAATATAATAATAATAATAATAATAATAATAATGATAATAATAATAATGACATAATGATAATAATATAATAATAATAAAAATAGTATTACCAGTCTCCCTTTGTAGCTTGAGGTGAGGTACAATATAATAATAATAATGATAATAATAATATAATGATGATAATAATAATATTACCAATCTCCCTTTGTAGCTTGAGGTGAGGTACAATATCATAATAATAATAATAATAATAATAATAATAATAATAATATGATCATAATTATAATGCCAGTCTCCCCTCGTAGCTTGAGGTAAGGTACAATATCATCATCATCATCATCATCATCATCATCATACCAGTATCTCTTTGTAGCTTGAGGTGAGGTACAATATAATAATAATGATAATAATAATAATATAATAATAAAAACCAGTCTCCCTTTGTAGCTTGAGGTGAGGTAAAATATAATAATAATAATAATAATAATAATATTATGATGATGATTATAATAATAATAATATGATAATAATAATGGTATTAGCAGTCTCCCTTTGTAGCTTGAGGTGAGGTAAAATATAATAATAATACCAATAATAATAATAATACCGCTCTCCTCTTGTAGCTTGAGATGAGGTACACTATAATAATAATAATAATAATAATAATAATAAAAATAATAATAGTATTACCAATTTCTCTTTGAGGCTTGAGGCGAGGTACAATATAATAATAATAATAATAATAATAATAATAATAATAATAATAATAATACCAGTATCCCTTTGTAGCTTGAGGTGAGGTACAATATAATAATAATAATAGTAATAATAATAATAATAATAATAATAATAATAATATAATGATAATAATATTATTACCAGTCTCCCTTTGTAGCTTGAGGTGAGGTAAAATATAATAACAATAATAATAATAATACCGCTCTCTTGTAGCTTGAGGTGAGGTACAATATCATAATAATAATAAAAATGATAATAAAGATAATAATAGTATTACCACTCTCTCTTTGAGGCTTGAGATGAGGTACAATATAATAATGATAATGATAATAATAATAATAATAATAATAATAATAATAATAGCATTACCAGTCTCCCTTTGTAGCTTGAGGTGAGATAAATAATAATAATAATAATAATAATAATAATAATAATAATATGATGATGATGATTATAATAATAATATGATAATAATAATGGTATTAGCAGTCTCCCTTTGTAGCTTGAGGTGAGGTAAAATATAATAATAATAACAATAATAATAATATTGCTCTCCTCTTGTAGCTTGAAATGAGGTAAACAATAATAATAATAATAATATTACCACTTTCTCTTTGAGGCTTGAGGTGAGGTACAATACAATAATAATAATGATAATAATAGTATTACCAGTCTCCCTTTGTAGCTTGAGATGAGGTACAATATAATAATAATAATAATAATAATAATAATAATAATAGTAATAATATTACCAGTTTCCCTTTGTAGCTTGAGGTGAGGTAAAATATAATATAATAACAATAACAATAATAATAATACCGCTCTCTTGTAGCTTGAGGTGAGGTACAATATCATCATCATAATAATAAAAATTATTATAAAGATAATAATAGTATTACCACTTTCGCTTTGAGGCTTGAGATGAGGTACAATATAATAATAATAATAATAATAATAATAATAATAAAGTGATAATAATGATAATAATAGTATTACCAGTCTCCCTTTGTAGCTTGAGGTGAGGTAAATAATAATAATAATAATAATAATAATACCGCTCTCCTCTTATAACTTGAGGTGAGATACAATATAATAATAATAATGATAATAATGATAATAATAATAGTATTACCACTCTCTCTTTGAGGCTTGAGGTGAGGTACATAATAATAATAATAATAACAACAACAACAACAACAACCCCCTCCCTGAGCCAGATTAGAGCATAGCGAAGGCAATATGGCTCCTGCATAACCCCGGGTGCTGGGCGTGTTGTGTGCCCACCTTCTCCTTCGTCCTCACGCTGCCCGGGTCTCGGCCTCGATCTTCTGCTCCCCGTGGAGCGTCTCCACTTCCTGCACTTGGGCCACATTCTGCCGGATGGCGATCTCGGGCCCGCCGCCGTAGAGCGTGCTGAGGTAGATCCACGTCTCCTCGGAGATCTGGCCGTAATCGGCTCCTGGCAGGTCAAGGGAGGGGACAGGACGTACGCTCGGCTCGAGATTCAATGATCAGCAAGGCCCAAATCCACCTCCCGCCTTGGGATTGGACCAAGGGCCTTACCTGGTTTCACCTGGACGTGGCCGCTTCCTTTGGCCACGGCGATCTTGCTGTTGTCGATGGGTCCGGGAGGCTCTGCTGGAAAAAAGTAAATGCACCTTTAGTTTGTTTGTTTTTTGTACAATTTTTTATTGTGGTATATAAGTAAACAACAACAACCACAACAACAACAACATAGATTCTTAAAAATTCGATGCTCACATAACTATAACTGAGTTATAGTTCACCTCCAATCAAAGAGAATTTTGAACTCCGCCAATGATGGAATTGAACCAAACTTGGCACACAGAACTCCCACGATCCACAGAAAATACTGGAAGAGTCTGGTGGGCATTGACCTTGAGTTTGGGAGTTGTAGTTCACCTACATCCAGAGAACACGGTAGACTCAAACAATGATGGATCTCAACCAAACTTGACATAGATACTCAATATGTGCGTAACCGGTGGAGTTTGGGGAGAATAGACGTTGACATTTGGGAGTTGTAGTTGCTGGGATTTCTAGTACACCTACAATCAGAGAGCATTCTGAACTCCTCCAACGATGGAATTGAACCAAACTTGGCACACAGAACTTTCACAACCAACAGAAAATAATGGAAGGGTTTGGTGGGCATTGAATTTGAGTTTTGGAGTTGTAGTTCACTCCTTAGGTCCAAATGTGAACACTGGTGGAATCAGGGGTAAATAGACCTTGTCATTTGGGAGTTGTAGTTGCTGGGATTTATAATTCACCTACAATCACAGAGCATTCTGAACTCCACCAACGATGGAATTGAACCAAACTTGGCACACAGAACTCCCATGATCCACAGAAAATACTGGAAGGGTTTGGCGGGCATTGACCTTGAGTTTTGGAATTGTAGTTCACCTACATCCAGAGAGCACTGTGGACTCAATGATGGATCTGGACCAAAATTGGCATGGATAATCCATAGGCCCAAATGTGAACACTGGTGGAGTTTGGGGGAAATAGACCTTATCATTTGGGAGTTGTAGTTGCTGGGATTTATAGTTCACCTACAATCAGAGAGCATTCTGAACTCCACCAATGATGGAACTGAACCAAACTTCGTGCACAGAACCCTCCAGGACCAACAGAAAATATTGTGTTTCCCGATGGTCTTTGGCGACCCCTCTGACACCCCCTTGCGACCCCCCCAGGAGTCCCGACTCCCAAGTTGAGAAACGCTGCTCTAAACACTCTTAAGTCGAGTTCCTACTGTACTAATGGATTACTACAATACTTAGTGAACTTCCATCWCTCATAGATTGAGCRCAAAATTACTTGTAGCCTCCTCCTGGGCGAAAGGCCCCATCCCTGAGCAAGTATTCAATTATTATTACTGTATATACTCGAGTATAAGCCTAGTTTTTCAGCCCCTTTTTTAGGCTGAAAAAGTTCCCCTTGGCTTATACTCGAGTCAAGGTTATTTATTATTTTACTGTATTATTATTACGTTTACGTTACTTTATTACTTTTATTACATTTATTATTTTACTCTATTATTATTATTATTATTATTATTACATTTACATTATTTTACTGTATTATTATATTTATTACATTTATTACTTTATTATTATTGTTGTTRTTATTATTAYATTTATTACTTTATTATTATTATTACTGTTATTAAATTTCCATTATTTACTCTATTATTATTTTTATTGCATGATATTACATTTATTATTTTATTCTATCATTATAGGTAATAGGTAAGAAGCACATTTACATTGAAGGAGGTTAGAATACTGGTTGAATCAGAGTTGGGCAGTCTTATCTTAAATGACAGTTTTATGTAAATACTCATAAACATTTAACCTTCCGATGATTACCAGTAGCAGCTACATTTCTCACCCTCGGCTTATACTCGAGTTAAAATGTTTTTCCAGTTTTTTGTGGTAAAATTAGGTGCCTCGGCTTATATTCGGGTCGGTTTATACTCGAGTATACACAGTATTTATTCTTTATTTATTTATTTACGATATTTATATGCCGCCCTTCTCACCCCGAAGGGGACACAGAGCAGTTTACAAGATATATATATATACAATATATTATATTATTAGCATAGTACAATATCAGTATTAAATATTACTACATTGTATAATAATAATAATAATAATAATAATAATAATATTTTATTTGTACCTGCTACCATCTCCCCAAGTGACTCGGTGCAGCTTACATGAGGCCAAGCCCAAATACAACAATACAAGCAATAATAAGAACAATACAAGCAATTAAAAAACATAGACAATAAAATACACAACATTATCAATAAGACAACGCACAATTAAAAACAGTGGGAAGGCCAAATGTAGAGTTAAAATTGGAAATAATGCTGGGACATGGACGAAAGGTGATACTGGTGTTTGTGGAAGGGCATATGAGCAGACCTAAAGAAATGTAAAGTGCTTTGGAGGACATCATAATATTTTAATATTATTAGTAATATTACATGTAATGTAAATATATAATTATAATGTCATATTATTATTATTAGTATTATATTGCATTATATATAATTACCGTTGTCTTTGCCTTTGACGAAGGCCTCCCACTCGCGGAACCACTGCATGCTGATGCAATAGATGACTCCGGGGGACTCCTCCGCTTGGAAGGCTTTGTTGAGCTGATGGGGCAAAGCGGAGCAGAGAGAAGGAGGGCTCGGGGTCAAACAAGGGAAGTTACAAAGCAGGCCTCGCCAACCCGTGGCCCCTCCGGGCCTTCTTGACTCCAGGTCCCAGAATTCCTGGCCATTGAGCAAGCTGGCAAGAAGGGATTCTGGGAGTTTGGAAACTCAAACTTCTCCGATGTCCCCACATGGGGAGCTGGAGCTGACAGAGGGTGCTCACCCCACTCCCGAGATTCAAACCTGTGACCTTTCAGTCAGCAAGTTTAGCAGCTCAGCGGTTTAACCCACTGCGCCACCGCAGGAAATAAAACTTGCAAACCAGGAACAGATTTTTTTTCCAATTTTGTTACAGAGTGCTATCGCCTGAAAGTCTCAGGCCTTCCACACAGCTGTACAAAACCCACATATGGCTGTATGGACTCAGATAACCCAGTTCAGAAGCAGGTATTGTGGATTCTCTGCCTTGATATTCAGCAGAATCCCTGACCTTGATGAAGGTGTCGATCTCCATCTTCCTCCGCTTGGCCAAGGTTTCGATCTCCACTTGGCACACCGAACAGACGTACAGGTGGTTTACGGCTGGGCCGCCTCCGAATCTAGGCAACAGATAGGAAATCCTCACTGTGAGAGCTGTTCAGCAGGGGAACTCTCTGCCCTGGAGTGTGGTGGAAGCTCCTTCTTTGGAGGTTTTGAAACAGAGGCTGGATGGCCATCTGTTGGGGTCGCTTTATAGGTGATTTTCCTGCTTCTTGATAGAATAGGGTTGGACTGGATGGCCAACCAGGTCTCTCCCAACTCTAGGATTCCATGATTCTATGAAATTGGATGCTAGGAACCGCAGTTAAAGGACACTTCACCCCAAAGTTGCAAAATGAGATGTTGGCCACTCCAGCCTGGAGACAGATCGGACATCTGAAGCCTACCTGTTGTAGAGGTATTCCCAGACGTTCTGGGGAAGGATCACCACCAGGTCGTCGATATAATGGTATTTGTTGGGAGGGATTCCTGTTAAGTCAACAAAGGCAGGAAAGGGTTAATTTTCAGCATGGTTTGGGCCTCATCTTGCCGTATATACAGGTGGAGCATCCCCACTTACCTCCATGAGAGCAGAGGAAGGTGTGGTTGGTGATGGGGCCGGGCTCGGCGAAGGTGTTGAACTTGTTGAGCCATTCCCGGGAGATGTAGAACTGGAGCAGGCCGGGCTCCTTCATGGTGGCCAAGGAGACCACCTTCTGACGCTCCCGGACGGCCTCCTCGCTGCTCTTCCTGTGGAAACAGAGCCAAAACGGACAGGATTAGGATGGATTGGGGCAGGGGGAGTCACTTTAGAGACAGAAGTTGCTTTGGAGTCCTCTTTTGGGAGGAAAGGAACTGGTTATAATTTATTGATTAATAATAATAATAATAATAATAGTAGTAGTAGTAGTAATGATCTTTATTTATACCCCGCTACCATCTCCCCGATGGGGACAAAAATACGATGCAGCACAATAAAAGACAGAATGCAGAAACAGAAAATTACATCAGAAAATAGTTACAGTAGCAAAATAAAATAAAATAAAGCAAATTAACACAATATAAAATCGGACAGGATGGGCAGGCCAATTTACTAGCTGTACCTGCCACGCGTTGCTATGGCCAACCTTCCCTCCCTCTTTCTCTTCTTTCTTTCTCTCCTTCCTTCCTTCCTTCCTTCTCTTCCTTCCCTCTTTTTCTTTCTCTTCTTCTTTCTTCCTTCTCTACCTGTTTTCTTTTTCTCTTCTTTCTGTGAGGCAAAACACCAAATACTTTCTTCCGATTCATCCCTACTCCCTCTCTCCTTCTCTCTCTATTTCTTCACCCATAACTATTACCCATCTTCTCTAATCCATACTCTTATATACTCATCTATCCAAATATTCTGCACACACCCTACAACATGCTATTATCCCAACTCGTATCTCTTTTCTTCTTGTGTGTATCTAAGATCACTCTATTACACTTCCTCACACAACAACCTACACATTCTATTATATCGTCTCTCTATATCCCTTTTATCACTTCGACACTCCATGCGTATATGTCACTGTTCGAACATCTCTCCACCAGTGCCCGTTATCTCATTTCCTCCTACTAACATAGACACCATCTTACGACATTACACACCCTTCTTGTGTCAATCCCTTTCACCTAGTCCTTATCTAAGACTAATCCTTTCCGCTCTATCTCTAACCGTGCCTAACTCCATACATATACCTGACCACCCCTTATATAATATTTTTTATATATTATACAATCTACATTTTTATAGTAAAACATAACATCATACCTTTTCCCTTCAATTTCCCTATCTCCTCTATTCACCCTCACCTCATCTCTCTCTCCCTTTCATACCTCCTCCACCCCTCCCTTCTTTATCCCTCATCCCCCTTCTACCTTTTCACCTATCCCCCCTTCATCATTTGTGCTTATTTGTTTATTAAATCTATCCTCTCCACCCAGCTCTCTTTCCTCATCAATGCTACTCTCTCTTCTCTCCTCCCCCCTCATCCCCTCCTCTTCTCTCCTCTACTCCCATTCCCTCTCCTTATACCCCCCTTCTCTATCACTCTTCTCTTCTTATCTATCTATCTATCTATCTATCTATCTATCTATCTATCTATCTATCTGTTGATCTATCTATCTATCCATCTATCTATTCATCCATCCATTGGTCGATCTGTTTATCCAGCCATCTATGTATCTTATCTGTTTATCTGTTTTCCTATCCATCCATCAATCAATCTTCCTATCTATTTTTCTATCTATTTTTCTATCTATCTATCTATCTATCTATCTATCTATCTATCTTCTATCTATCTATCTATCCATCCATCCATCCATCCATCCATCCATCCATCTACCTTTCTGTTCATCTATCTATCTATCCATCCATCCATCCATTGGTTGATCTATTTATCCAACCATCTATGTATCTTATCTGTTTATCTGTTTACCTATCCATCTATCAATCAATCTTCCTATCTATTTTTCTATTTATTTTTCCATCCACCCATCCATCTACCTTTCTGTTCATCTATCCATCCATCCACCCATCCATCTACCTTTCTGTTCATCTATCCATCCATCCACCTACCTTTCTGTTGATCCATCCATCCATCCATTTTATCTATTTTCCTATCCATTGATCTTCCTATCGATTTTTCTATCTATCCATCTGTCCATTCATCTATCTATCCATCTTATCTATTTATCTATTTTCCTATCCATCGATCTTCCTATTGATTTTCTATTTATTTTTCTATCTATCCATCAGTCGATCTATTTATCCAGCCATCCATGTATCTTATCTATTTTCCTATCCATCCATTGATCTGCCATCTTTCTAATCTATCATCTGTATCTATCTATCCATCTCACAATCCATCCATCGTCTATCCATAATATCTAGCAATTATTATTATTATTATTATTATTATTAGCTATTATGGATAGATGATGGATGGATGGATAGATAAATATCTTCCAAATATTTATCCTTCCTTCCTTCCTTCCTTCCTTCCTTCCTTCCTTCCTTACTTACTTACTTATATCTATCCTTTGTTTCTTCCAAATATCTATCTATTTATCTATCTATCTATCTATCTATCTATCTATCTATCTATCTAATCTATCTGGAGGATTGCTGGGAGTTGCAGTCCAGGAATAGGAAATTGCTTCTTTGAAAGGAAGACAGAAAGGAAGCAGCCCGTAATTCTTGGAACGGTGCCTCACCTGTAGAACAAGACYTAGGCCTCGGCGTTCTGGACCACCGTCTCGTGCACCTCGGTGACATATTGGTCGTCGAACTCGTACCACTGGCCGTTGATGACGTTTTGGCAGTAGGCGATGTAATGTCCGCCTGGAAGAAAGGGATCGATCGGTGGGTTGCCGGGAGTCGCGGTTCTACCCAACGACAAGTCACTAGGATTCCCAGGGGAAATCCATATTTTTCTGCAATTTCTAAAAAATTGTATTGTGCACGAATAACAAACAAAAAGTGAAAATTAAGTACAAACAGGAGGGTAACGAACAGAAACTGTTCAATGAGAACATCTGATATAAAGAGAAAGGTGGGTTATAAAGATAATAATAACAACAACAACAACAAATGTGTTGTCATGGCCAAATAAAAAAAAAAAAAAAAAAAAAAAGAAAAAAAGAGAACATCTGATATAAAGAGAAAGGTGGGTTATAAAGATAATAATAATAACAACAACAACAAATGTGTTGTCATGGCCACAATCAATGGGTTGCTGTGAGTTTTCCGAGCTGTCTGGCCATGCTCCGGAAGCATTCTCTCCTGATGTTTCACCCACATCTGTGGCAGGCATCCTCAGAGGTCATGAAAGCCTTTGACAACAAATTTTGTATAGATTTTCTCTAATGGATCTAGCTAGACCCAGAGGAAATATCAGTAACTAGCTGTCCCCTGCTATGTGTTGCTGTGGCCCAGTCTGTGAATATGTGTTTTGTGTATGTATATATGTGTACGTGTGTATATGTGAATATATATGTGTGTTTGCGTTTATTATTATTATTATTATTATTATTAACTTTATTTCTACCCCGCTAGCATCTCCCGAAGGATTTGATGCGGCTTACACAGGCCGAGGCCTCAACACACAACACAACAGTACAATCTAAGCAAATCAAACAATTAAAAACAGAATAAAGCAAAATAAACAACAGGCACAATACACTAAAACACAATAAAACTGGGCCGGGCCAGAGAATGGGTACAAGATATGTGTGTGTAAAGCTAGATAGATATACACTAGCTGTCCCCTGCCATGCCTTGCCGTGGCCCAGTCTGTGTATATGTGTTTCGTGTGTGCATATATGTGCATGTGTGTGTATATATTTGTGTATATGTGTATATATGTGTTTGTGTATAGATAAATAGATAGACAGATAGACACTAGCCATCCCCTGCCACACGTTGCTGTGGCCCAGTCTGTGTATATGTGTTTTGTGTATTTATACATGTGTATATTTGTGTATATGTGTATATATGTGTGTTTGTGTATATATATGTATAGGTAGGTAGATAGATAGACACTAGCCATCCTCTGCCACGCATTGCTGTGGCCCAGTCTGTGTATATGTGTTTTGTGTGTGTATATATTTGTGTGTATGTGTGTGTTTGCGTATATATACGTATAAGAAAATAGATAGATAGATAGATAGATATACACTAGCCGTCCCCTGCCACGCGTTGCTGTGGCTCAGTCTGTGTATATGTGTTTTGTGTGTGTGTGTATATATATATATGTGTGTATTTATATTTGTGTATATGTGTATCTATGTGGTTTTGTGCATGCATTGCAATGTATTTTTTGTTTTTTGGCTTTTTAAGTCTCTTCCGCTGTGTTTTTATGAGTGATAGGTGCATTGTGTCCAAGGTAAAAGGTAAAGGTTTTCCCCTGACATTAAATCCAGTCGTGTCTGACTCTGGGGTGTGCTGCTCATCTCCATTTCTAAGCCGAAGAGCCAGCGTTGTCCATAGACACCTCCAAGGTCATGTGGCTGGCATGACTGCATGGAGCGCCATTACCTTCCCACCGGAGTGGTACCTATTCATCTATTCAAATTTGCATGTTTTCGAACTGCTAGGTTGGCAGAAGCTGGAGCTGACAGCAGAAGCTCACGCTGCTTCCTGGAATCGAACCTGCGACCTTTTGGTCAACAAGCTCAGCAGCTCAGTGCTTTAACCCACTGCTCGTCCAGTGGTTTTTGAGTTATGTTAATCCCACAAACAAACATTACATTTTCATTTATATAAATGATGTTGATTTCTTACGCGCCTCTCTTTGCAGATCGAGGCAGGTTTTAGCAGTCAAAAACACACAAATATTATAAAAATTCTACAAGCACACATATTATAACGCAGTTCCATCGGAGATAGTTATCAAAGCATTTCTATACAATTGGTATTAATACGAAAGGACATGGGAGAGGGACTCACTGCCAGCCGTGCCGTGATGGCAGATCACAGAGAGGAGGTCGTAGGTGGTGATTTGGGAGGCGCTCTCCTTGGCCAGGAACGGCCGGAGGTCCAGCCCTTCCAGCGGGAAGGAGACGTGGCTATTGATCTTGAAGGAGTACATGACCTCGTGCCGGAAGCGCTTCAAGTGGATGCACAGGATCTGTGAGGGAAGGATCGCGGCTCAAAAAGACACCTCGAGAGACCCAAAACCAGGCCTGGGACAACTTGGGCCCTCTCAGGGTGTTTTGGACTTCAACTCCCACACTTCCTAACACCCACTTCTCATAATAATAATAATAATAATAATAATAATAATAATAATTTATTTATATCTTCCCAAGGGGACTCAGGGCAGATTGCAGTACACATACACGACAAACATTCAATGCTGTTTGGACAAATAAGGACAGAACGGGCAAAAGGGAGGCATGTTGTGTTGTGTTGTGTTGACGTCAGCACTCGAAATCCAGGCACAGGGGGTGCTGTTGATCCATCCTCTATGACGAAGAGCCATCAGGACTTCATCCTTCCTTTTTGGACACTGGCATTTTCTGATTTTCTTTTATGGTGTCATAATTTATGTAATTACAGCAGAAGCTGTTTTCTAACTGCTTAGGTTAACAGTAAGCTGGGCTTGATAGTTGGCAGCTCATGCCGACCTGGAGCTTCGAACTAGCAACCTTTCAGTTGGTAGACGTTATCACTGCTGGTAACACATTATTATTATTATTATTATTATTATTATTTATAGAACATAATAATCTTTATAATCTGTACTCTTTATTGTTGGTCTGTTTGTTACACAACTGCAGGCACTGAGCTTGTAAATCCTGTGCATTTTTGGTTCTTTTTCTTTTATGGTGTCGTAAAATACCTCCCCCTCTTGTTTTAGCAGTACCTAATATCTCTAATTACATCACATGCTGTTTTCGAATTGCTTAGGTCAACAGTAAGCTGGGCTTTATAGTTGGCAGCTCATGTCAACCCGCGGCTTTGAACTAGCAACCTTTCAGTTGGTAGATGCTATCACTGCTGGTAAATTATTATTATTATTATTATTATTATTATTATTATTGTTATAGAATATAATAATCTTTATAATCTGTACTCTTTATTGCTGGTCTGTTTATTACACAACTGAAGGCACTGAGCTTGTAAATCCTGTGCATTATCTGTTCTTTTTCTTTTATGGTGTCGTAAAATACCTCCCCCGCTTGTTTTAGCAGTACCTAATATCTCTAATTCTCTTCTCCAAGGTCTCCCACCTTTTCATTATGTGACCAAAGTACTTCATCTTTACTTCAGAGAGTATCCTCTATGCTGACGATTGTGCCATCACTGCTCAAGCAGGGAGCTTTGAGATGGTTGAACAGAAGCTCTCTGAAGCTTTAGGTGCTCCTACTGCCTACTAAGAGGAAAACCAGGTTGCACCATCAGTGTTTAACATTTACACACATGACCTGCCACTGCCAGAAGGGACAGAGAGTTTCCTCTACACTGATGACCGTGCCATCACCGCCCAAGCAGGGAGCTTTGAGATGGTTGAACAGAAGCTCTCTGAAGCTTTAGGTGCTCTTACAGCCTACTAAAAGGAAAACCAGGTTCCACCATCAAAGTTTAACATTTACACAAATGACCAGCCACTGCCAGAAGGGACAGAGAGTTTCACCTCTGCTGACGATCGTGCCACTCAAGAAGGGAGCTTTGAGATGGTTGAACTGAAGCTTTAGGTGCTCTTACTGCCTATTATGTGGCCAAAGTACTTCATCTTTACTTCAGAGTTTCATCTATGCTGACGATCGTGCCATCACCACTCAAGAAGGGAGCTTTGAAATGGTTGAACTGAAGCTCTCTGAAGCTTTGGCATTTTCCCCAGCATCATTGTCTTCTCTAAGTTTTCCTTTCTTCTCATGTGGCCAAAGTACTTCATCTTTGCCTCTAATATCTTTCCCTACAATGAGCAGCTGGCCATTATTTCTTGGACTGGTTAGATCTTCTTGTGGTCCAAGGCACACTGAGAATTTTCCTCCAGCATCACAGATCAAAAGCTCAGCTGTTCTTATGGCCCAGCTCTTTCATCCATAGGTTCCTACCCGGAATACCATTGCTGTAACTATGCGGATCTTCGTTGCCAGTGTGATGTCTTCACGGGGTAGTGCTGAACAATGTCTCTCATTGGGGCGCTCTTGACACTTGACTTTTCGTTTGCAACCTCTAGGTTGTGAGGAAGTGTGGGAGTTGGAGTCCAAAACACCTGGAGGGCCCAAGTTTGCCCATGCCGACTCAAAACCCTCCCAGATGTTGGCAAAGCCACCTTACCTCAGGTAGGCGGAGAACTTTGCAGTATTTGACCCCATTTCTCAACCTGAGGACAGAGAAAACAAAGGAGGAGACACACTTGTTCTGCATCTGTTTTTACAACTTCCTCCCCCTTGGAAGAAGTGGGTCTATGATATTCCTCTTTCCAACACCTTAAACCTATCGGATATTAATCTCTATGCTCTCCAAGTCCTCACTCGTTTATTTTGGAGACCATTTGGAGGGGTGATTTTTGGGGGGGAGAAAGGAAAGAAGCGTTAATGGAAGCCAGACTTACTTTTTACATCGTTCGCAGCTGTACATGTTGTCTCCTGGAAAGGAAAAGAGAGAGACAATTGAGCAGAGGTGCGTCAAGCGAAGGAGAAACTACGTACAGCTTTTTATTGATCTCTTTTCAAAGTACAGGCCTTCCCCAAGTTACAAAGAAGGTCTGTCAGTTTGTTCTTAAGTTGAATCTGTTTGTAAGTTGGAACAGGTCAATTTTTAAGTATAACTCCAGCCAAATATAGATATATTAAGCTTTGGATAGCATAGGGAAGGGTTAATACCCATGTTCAGAAGATTTCACCTCACGTCCTGTCTCTATGAGAATTGGAATTTGGAAAATATGACTAGTTGTGGAAACAAGGATTGGAGAGAAAGCTTCAACGGAGACCCTTTTCCCCATGGTTATATAACACTTCCAGGAGTGGATTTCCCTTCTTCCCAGGGGAAGATTGCTCTCACTTCCTGCTGTCTCAGCCCCATTCTTTATGAGAGATAGATATGGTATCATAGATTTAAAAGAGACCTCCAAAGGTCATCCAGTTCAGCCCCTTTCTTTCTTTCTTTCTTTCTTTCTGCCTGCCAGGCAGGTAGGCACCACTGGGGATGATTTCGCTCACTTCCTGTCATCTCAGCCCCATTCTTTATGAGAGATATAGTATCATAGATTTGGAAGGGACCTCCAAAGGCCATCCAGTCCAGTCCCTTGCTTTCTCCCAGGCAGGAAGGCACTATTGGGGAAGATTTCACTCACTTCCTGTTGTCTCAGACCTATTCTTAACTACAAGTAGTTTGTAAGTTGGATGCTTGTAACTCGGGGATGGCCGATGTGTGTGCGCATATATGTGTGTGTGTGTGTGTATAATGAAACCAAATTTGGGCACAATACACCGAGCAGGCCAACAAGAGACCCTCACTCATAGAAACATTGAAAAACACAGCAGAAGAGACCTAAAAAGCCAAAAAAAAAAAAGACCAAAAAAAATTCATTACATTACAACATATGTGCATAACCACATAAATACACATATATACACACACATACACACACACACAAAACACATATACACAGACTGGGCCACAGCAACGTGTGGCAGGGGACGACATACATATATATATATATATAGAGAGAGAGAGAGAGAGAGAGAAAGAGAGAGAGAAGGTGTGTGTGTGGGTGTGTATGAATGGGATACATACAGTACCATAGATTTGGAAGGGACCCCCAAAGGTTATCCAGCACAGCCCCTTTCTTTCTGCCATTGGGGAAGATTCCTATACATTATTATAACACATCTTGTCCGCCATAAAACCAAGCCCCATTTCCCTGCAACCGCACCTTTGAGCTCGTCGGCAGCAAAGAAGGCAGCGAGGCAGTCTTCCAAGGTGACCACTGGCCCCCAAAACCAGCTGGGGATACAGGACACCACAAATCTGTAGGCAGCAAGAAATCGGGACCTGTTTTGGGGCTGGCGCACTCCAAATCCCAACGTCCTCAGCCTCCAAATTGTGCCCCGGATCCCAAGAGCTTGCCCCAAACTGGCCTACCTGCGGATGTACTCCACGATGAAAGCGATCCAGCCCTGGGAGGCGGCGTAGTTCTCCCCCGCGCAGGCCCCCGTCTTGGCCGGGACGTTCTGGTAAATGGCCGAGTGCAGCTTGGCCAAGTCCTCTTTGCCCGGGATGGGCAGTGAAAGGTCCTGGAAGGTCTCCACAGTGGTAGAGACCTGCGGAAAGAGGAAGACAGGAAAGTCTATCAAATAGGCCTGTGCAAAACGATCATTAGTCCTTGTAAATTAGAATCATAGAATCATAGAGTTGGAAGAGACCTCGTGGGCCATCATCCAGTCCAACCCCATTCTGCCAAGAAGCAGGAATATTGCATTCAAAGGACCCCTGACAGATTGCCATCCAGACTGTGTTTAAAAGCTTCCAAAGAAGGAGCCTCCACCACACTCCGGGGCAGAGAGTTCCACTGCTGAACGGCTCTCACAGTCAGGAAGTTCTTCCTCAAGTTCAGATGGAATCTCCTCTCTTGTAGTTTGAAGCCATTCCTCCATTGCGTCCTAGTCTCCAGGGAAGCAGAAAGGAAGCTTGCCCCCTCCTCCCTGTGGCTTCCTCTCACAATTTAGTAACAATTACTAAATTGTTAGTAATTAGTTCAGATCCATGCAAATTAATCACTATTAAGAAACATGTGGGAAAAGGGGGGAGAAAAAGGGGCGAGCTCCCGCTGTTGGCCCCAGTTTCTGCCAACCTAGCAGTTTGGAAACATGCAAATGTGAGCAGATCAATACTCTGTTGCCCCATGCAGTAATGTTGGCCGCATGACCTTGGAGGTGTCTACGGACAACGCCGGCTCTTCAGCTTAGAAATTGAGATGAGCACCGAAGTCCCGGAGTCGGAAACCTTTACCTACCTACCAACCATTATTTATTTATTTTATTTACGATATTTATAGCCCGCCTTTCTCAGCCATACGGCGACTCAAGGCGGGTTACAGAGTGGCACAATTTGGTGCCAGGCATTCATAAAAGTGCCATTGAAAACAATCAACATTACAATATAAAACATAAATAAAAACATATTAAAGCATATAATCATCAGTGTCATCTTGTTAAAAATGTTATCCAGTAACATCGTCCAGCCATTCCATGTTCCTCATTCGTAGTTCCGTGTTATCTATTCCACTGCATAATAATATCCCTGGGGAGGGAGTTCCACAGCCGGGGGCCACCACTGAGAAGGCCCTGTCCTTCATCTCTGCCAATCGCACTTGCGAGGCAGGCGGGATCGTGAGCAGGGCCTCCCTAGACGATCTTAAGTTCCTAGATGGTTCATAGGAGGAGATACGTTCGGACAGGTAAGGGGGTGGTTTTCCTCGGTCCGAAAAGAAGGCCCCGTCCCATCCTGCCCCGCCCCGCCCCCCCATGAAGCGTGCCCCTCCTCACTGGATCCGCAGAGGTAAGGAAACGCACTCGGTCACAGGTGAGGCACTGCACCAGGCTCAGGATGGAGCCGTCGAAGATGTCGGAGATGACGCTACGATAGCGGATCTCCTTCCTCTTCTTGCTGGACGCCAGCATCTGAGCTGAGAGAGGAGACAGGAGGCGCATGAGGAAGGAACGGCCTCTTCCCTTTCGTTCGTCACCTCAGGGGGTAAAGCATTGGCGGAGCAGAAAGCACACCTCAAATACATAAGACTGTCCACTCAAAAAAACACTACAAAGGCTTTGTGGGACGATGGACCATAGATGCAGGCGAAACGTCAGGAGAGAATGCTTCTAGGACATGGCATATAACAACAAGACTTGCAGTACCTTCACTCACTTCCTGAGACCACTGTGACACACGCCAACGACTGATCAAGATGCAACACACAGAGCCTCCATGACCCATTCTACATCCTGGTGCGGTTTGAAGGAGGATTGACCATGGACGATGGGACTTGCATATGGGAGTTATAGTTCACCTTCACCCACTTAACCCAGCCAATATTGGATCTAGACTAAATTTTTAGCACAGCCATCAATACCTTTCTGAAATGACCCAGGCACTGCCAGGTTCCCAAGCTAGTTATAAATAAATTTAATGGGTTGTTGTATGCTTTTTGGGCTGCGTGGCCATGTCCTAGAAGCATTCTCTTCTGACGTTTCGCCTGCATCTATGGCAGGCATCCTCTGATAGTGTTATTACCAAGCCTCACCTTTTTTCAGCACATAGGAGGGCCCCAACCTCACGGGGCTTGAACGCGGAGGGCTGCTGGAGAGCTTGGCGTGGACATCATGGTGGACGGGGCTGCAGGGCCGAGAGGAACAGCGGGAATAGGCCTCGTTGTCTGGCTCTAGGGGGAAAATAAAGCAAGCTTCATATTGAGGACAAAAGGCTGAATACAAAAGATTGCAATAAAATAAATATAGTATTGCCACTATCATACTCCAGAGCAGAATCACCTCTGACTTTAAACATCACACCAGCTGGGTAAAATCAGCAAGCAGTTTATTTAGGAATATATGTAGCCAAAGCAGTAAAAGGTAATCCACAGTAAAAAAAAATTAGTCCAGTTTAGTTCATCAGATACAAAGGGAAACAGGAACAAAGAGTCCAAGAAAATCTATGAAAATAGGCACTTGAGAATCACCTTTGAGTTTAAACACTACACCAGCTAGGTAAAATCAGAAAGCAGTTTATTTAGGAATATATGTAGCCAAAGCAGTAAAAAGTAATCCACAGTAAAAAAAAATCCAGTTTAGTTCATCAGATACAAAGGAAGGAAGGAACAAAGAGTTCAAGAAACTCCATTAAAATAGGCACTTGAATCCATGAACAATACAGAAGCATATCTCATAGACAAAACATGAGCTACACAGATCTTGGAGCATGAAACTTGGTGTTATCCCAATGTTGCCTCAACTGAAGCAATAATCTCTCACACATCATTATAAATTCTCCTCTGACTCCAAAACTGCTAGGAACCCATTCCTTCTTAGGTTCGGTTTACTATCTAACGTCCGTTGAATCTGAGCTGAGCGTCTTAATTGCTGCTCGGACTGCCTCTGTTTACTACAACTTCTTTTCCTGTTTAAGGTCTCATTAACTCCTGCACCTGATACAGCCAAATCAGCTTCATTCCCAGATAACTGACCAGGGAACTGCAGTGAAAGGCCTTTCCTAAGCTCAGGCCCTTCAGAATCCTCATAATAATAATAATAATAATAATAATAATAATAATAATAATAACAACAACAGCAACAACAATAATAACAACAACAACAACAGGAGCAACCCAAAAAGCCATCCAGTCCAACCCCCTTCTGCCTACAATCAAAGCACGCACAACAGATAGCTACCCAGCCTTTGAAATAGTAGTAAACTATATAAATAAAAATGTAATGTTCATTTGTTGGATTAACAAAACCACTGGACGAACTGACACGAAATTTGGACACAAGACACCTCTCAGGGCAATGAGTGACCATCACTCATAAAAACACAGAAAAACACAGCAGAAGGGACTTAAAGGCCAAAAAACAAAAATGCATTACAACGCATGCGCAAAATCACATATACACACAAACACGCATACAGTATATACACATATACACAAATATATGCACACACATATACACACGCAAAACACATATACACAGAGTGGGCCACAGCAACGCATGGCAGGGGACGGTTAGTAATAATAATAATAGCAGAAACCCCAGGTGCCATCCAATCCAACACCCTTCTGCCTTGCAATGAAAGCACAATCAAAGCACCCCCAACAGATTTCTACCCAGCTTTTGTAGTAATAATAATAATAACAACAACAACAGAAACCTTGGAGGCCATCCAGTTCAGCTCCCTTCTACCATGCAGGAAAAGCACAATCAAAGCACCCCCAACAGATGGCCACCCAGCTTTTGTAATAATAATAATAACAACAATAACAACAACAACAACAACAACAACAGCAGCAGAAACCTTGGAGGCCATCCAGTTCAGCTTCCTTCTACCATGCAGGAAAAGCACAATCAAAGCACCCCCAACAGATGTCTACCCAGCTTTTGTAGTAGTAATAATAATAATAATAACAACAGAAACCTTGGAGGCCATCCCGTTCAGCTCCCTTCTGCCCTGCAGGAAAAGCACAATCAAAGCACCCCCAACAGATGGCCACCCAGCTTTTGTAATAATAATAACAACAACAACAACAACAACAACAACAATAACAACAACGATAGCAGCAGAAACCTTGGAGGCCATCCAGTTCAGATCCCTTCTACCATGCAGGAAAAGCACAATCAAAGCACCCCCAACAGATGTCTACCCAGCTTTTGTAACAATAATAGTAATAATAATAATAATAATAATAGTAACAATAGTAATAATAAACAATAATAGCAGAAATCTCAGAAGCCATCCAGTCCAGCTCCCTTCTGCTATGCAGGAAAAGCACAATCAAAGCACCCCCAACAGATGGCCATCCAGCCTTTGTAATAATAATAACAACAACAATAATAGCAGTAACCCCAGGGGCCATCCAGCTCAACTCCCTTCTGCCATGCAGGAAAAGCCCACTTTGAGAATCGCTGCTCTTGCTCCAACAGCTCAATGCAGGGCCTCCCACAAATAAATACCTGGAGTCCTGGAAGGGCTGGCAGGGCGTGGAGTGGGCGGCTGGAGGATGTCGGGAGAAGCCCTGCCGTTGGTCCCGGTATCCACGGAGGTGTCCACGTCGGCATCTTCGTCCACTTGCTCGGAGTGGCTGCGCTGGTGGCTGCAGGAGAATTTCCGGTCCTTCAGCCTCTCCTTCTCGGATATCCCTCGCCCGGCTTCGTCCTGGATCAGCAGCTCTGCTTCCGGCACCCCCGTGCCCCCAGCTTTGCCCGACTGCCCGTCGCCTTCACCGCGGTCACTGCTGCCGGAGTCGCAGGAGAGGAACTCGTCCTCGGAGGGGCTGCGGTCGCCCTCCCGCTTGTCGTCCGCATCGCTCGAGTCCAAGTCCCGTACCTCGGCCGCCACGGGTTCTTTCAGCTCCTCGTGGAGCTGGTCCATCAGGCAGCGGAGGAATTCCTGCGTGTCCTGGAGCCGGAGAAAGACAAAGACACACAACTGAAAAGCTTATCTAAGGTAGGTAATGATGGAATTGTAGAGTTGGAAGAGATCGCATGGGCCATCTAGTCCAATATCCTTCTACGATGCAAGAAAAGCACATTCAAAGTGATCCTGACAGCCATCCTGCCTCTGCTTACTAATCTATATAAATAAAAATGTAATGTTCGTCTGTGGGATTAACATAACTCAAATACCACTGGACGAATTGACACCAAATTTGGACACAAGACACCTATCAGGTCAACGAGTGACCATCACTCATAAAAACACTGAAAAACACAACAGAAGGGACTTAAAAAGCAAAAAAAAAAACCAACCCCAAAACATTACAACGCATGCACAAAACCACATATATTCACGAAGACACATATATACACATATGCATAAATATATACACACATATACACATATATACACACACAAAACACATAGGCACAGACTGGGCCACAACAACGCGTAGCAGGAGATGGCTAGTCTATATAAATAAAAATGTAATGTTAGTTTGTGGGATTAACATAACTCAAAAACCACTGGACAAATTGACACCAAATTTGGACACAGTACACCTCTCAGGCCAATGAGTGACCATCACCCATAAAAACACTGGAAAACACAACAGAAGAGACCTTATTTATACCCTGCCACCATCTCCCCAAGGGGGACTCGGGGCGGCTAACATGAGGCCAAGCCCAAGTTACAGTACAGCAAAATAAAATACAAGAAGCAAAAATACCATCAAAATAAATACGTATGCAAGCATTCTGGCTCACCTGTTGGGCATAGCCCCGGAACATGGGGTTGACCAACTTGATGCCATGGGACAGGCTGCTCGGGACCACATAGCTCGGTCTGGTGAAAAAAGGAAGCGTGATGTGAGGAGAGGCCGATGAGAGACAGTCCAAAACACAGATGAGACATACAAGAGACAGGTCAAAACACAGCACATGTACCTTGCATTCTGATGTAATTGCATCCTGACTGGGTAACGCAGGACAAGGTTTCCTCTATTGCATGCGTATGCCCATTTTTCAAAGCTTGCAGGCATTGCTTTTCTCTTCCCAACTTTTACAGATCCAAATAACATCTTCACATCTTTTTGAACAATGTGAATGATCCCAAACTTTGCTTCGTGAGAACAGGCAAGTTTACAGAAGCATTTGGCCACAGCATAAAACAATAATAATAATAATTATTATTATTATTACTATTATTATTATTATTATTTGAAACACAACAAGATTAGTACACAGCAAACAAGACCACTATGCTGGTTGCTGTATTGGATCACATTATTGTATTATTATTATTATTATTATTATTATTATTATTATTATTATTGCTACTACTAGAAACACAACAACACGGGCAGACAATGAACAAAATCCCTATGCTGGTTGTTGTAGTGGATCACACATCGGACACTTCCCAAGTGTCTAGGACTATGTGATGTATCGGCGAATTATGCATGCAGACCCCAGTATTTATTTATTTATTTATTTACTGAAGGCACTCGTGGAAGTCATTTCAGAACCACCAACTCACCTCTTCTTATGCCACACTTCCGAAACCAGCTTCTGGTAACTTTTGCACAGCGCCGGCTTCTTGTCTGTGCGCACCAGGCCTCCGCATTCGAGGAAGAACTGTGTGAGTGGGGGGCTGAAAGAGCAGGAAGAGGGGACATAACAGTCAGTGACCTGCCCGGCAATAATAATAATAATAATAATAATAATAATAATAATAATAATGTTTATTGATATCATGCTTTTTCTCTCCATAAGGAGACTCAAAGCATCTAACATTAAGCACGTTGCAATAGAATGTAAAATACACAAATATACAACTACTAAATCCAGACTGCAAGTCGCTTCTGGTGTGTGAGAATCAGCCATCTACAAAGACAACGCCCAGGGGACACTTGGATGTGTTACTATCCTGCGAGGAGGCTTCTCTCATGTGCTTACTCCATCAATATTCAACATGTACACAAATGACCAGCCACTGCCAGAAGGGACAGAGAGTTTCATCTATGCTGACGATCGTGCTATCACCGCTCAAGCAGGGAGCTCTGTAATGGCTGAAAAGAAGCTGTCCAAAGCTTTAGGTGCTCTTACTGCCTATCACAAGGAAAACTAGCTGATTCCTAATCAATCTGAAATGCAGACGTATGCTTTTCACCTTAAGAATACACAAGCATCTTGAGCTCTGAAGATGACCTGGGAAGGAATCCCACTGGAGCATTGCAGCACACCCAACATACCTGGGAGTCACTCTGGACCGTGCTCTGACTTACAAGAAGCACCGCTTCAATATCAAGCAAAAAGTGAGTGCTAGAAATAATACTATACGAAAGCTGACTGGCACAACCTGGGGATCACAACCAGATACAGTGAAGGCATCTGCCCTTGCGCTTGGCTACTCTGCTGCTGAATACACATGCCAATACACATGCCAGTGTGGAACACATCTCACCATGCTAGAACAGTGGATGTGGCTCTGAATGAGACATGCCACATCATCAAACCCCGGGGAAATTAAATATCTGCTGGAAGTAGCAACCAACAATGAAAGGACCAAAGCAGTGGCATCTCCAGCCCATCCTCTGTTTGGATATCAACCAGCATGCCAACATCTTAAATTGAGAAATAGCTTCCTAAGATCTACAGAGATACGTGCTGAAACACCTCAGCAAGCAAGAGTCCAAAAGTGGCAGGCTAAGACCCAGAACCTCAGTTTATGGCTGAGACCGAATGAGAGACTCCCTTGTGGGCACACAGAAAGCTGGGTGACTTGGAAAGTGCTGAACAGACTCCGCTCTGGCATCACAAGATGCAGAGCCAACCTCAAGAAATGGGGCCACAAAGTGGAATCCACAACATGTGAGTGCGGAGAAGAGCAAACCACAGACCACCTATTAAAATGCAGCCTGAGCCCTGCCACATGCACCATGGAGGAACTCCTTACAGCCACACCAGAGGCACTCCAAGTGGTTGAAGGAAATTGAGCATAACGCCAAGTTTTTAACTTTGTTTGTGGTGTATATATGCACATACACACATATACACACATATTAGAAATGTACTCTCAATTTGCTTCTGACACGATAAATAAAATAAATAAGTTAAATCCATAAAAATATTATTTAAAAAACCACAGCGGCCCCTTTGACAGATACAGGATTAGAATACCGGAAACCCAAAACAACCCACCAGTTTGAAAGGGCCTGAAGCGCTGCATTCATGTAACAGGAGTTGCCGAGGTTCTTCATTCCTGTAAGGCCTAGAAAAGGAGGGATGGATTAGGAGAAAAAGGAACGTTGCTGCTCGTTGTCCCTCCCAGTCAGGCTCCCTTTTCCCTTCCTCTTGGTGTTCAAAGAAACAGGAAATGTACCTCTTGGTTTGAGGTCGTCGTCTTCTGACTCGGACTCCCCTTCATCGGCCACCGCAATCGGGACGGCCTTTAGAGGATGGGCCAGTGGAGGAGAATCCTGGAAGCAAAGAGTAGAGGTCAATACAAAAATATATAATAATAATAATAATTAAAAAAAAACTTTATTTATACCCCGTCACCATCTCCCCAAGGGGACTTGGAGCGGTTTACATTAAGGCATTTCCACTCCATAATGGAGACAGAATATATATATATATATATATATATATATATATATATATATATACACACACACACACACACACACACACACACACCCATGCATGTATATGTTTATTGGTGTATGTATATATGTGTTTGTATAGAATTATTATTATTGTTGTTGTTGTTGTTGTTATGGTTGTTGCTGTTACAGTTTTCTTTCTTGACCGCCTCTCCTTGCGGGTCAAGGCGGGTTACAGTATTACTAAAACCAGCATTATTATTACCAGATGATCTTAAGCTCCTTGATTGTTCATAGGGAGAAATACATTCGGACAGGCAAGCTAGGTTGGAACCATTTAGGGCTTTATAGGCTAAAGCCAGCACTCTGAATTGTGCTCGGTAGCAAACCAGCAGCCAATGGAGTTGGACTGGAGAGCCCACCAGGTCTCTTCCAACTCTAATAATAATAATAATAATAATAATAATAATAATAATAATAATAATAAAACTTTATTCATACCCTGCCACCATCCCCCCCAAGGGGACTTGAGGTGGCTTACATGAGGCCAAGCCCTACAATACAGTGCAGTAATGCTACTAACAACATACAATGACATTCCAGGTGACAGTCACATTGAGGAAAAACAACAGGAAAAACTCAGCCGCTATCAAGACCTCAAAATTGAACTGCAAAGGCTCTGATTGCATCAACCAGTCCAGGTGGTCCCAGTGGTCATTGGCGCACTGGGTGCCATGCCAAAAGACCTCCACCAGCTTTTGGAAACTATAAACATTGACAAAATCACGATCTGTCAACTGCGAAAGGCCACCTGACTTGGATCTGTGCGCATCATTCGAAAATACATCACACAGTCCTAGACACTTGGGAAGGGTTCAACTTGTGATTTTGTGATATGAAATCCAGCAGAGAGATCTCGTTTGCAGTGACATACTGTGCTTTTGTGTCAATAATATTAATAAAACTTTATACCCCACCACCATCCCCCCAAGGGGACTCGGGGCGGCTTACATGAGGCCAAGCCCTACAATACAGTAATGCTACTAACAACATATAATGTCAATAAAATAAAAGATAAAATACAAATAATAATAATAAAAGCACATCAAGCAATATAAAATCACAATTGAACAAAAAAAATAAGTCAGAGGGCAGGGCTAATAGAGAGAATTAAAAGCTTAAAGACACTGGGTTAGAAGGCAATATAATGTATCAAGGGATCAGAGGGACAAAAGTAGGGTTTAATTGCACTCGTAGGTAAAAAATAAAGTGCTTCCGAGGGCAGGTCAGGGATTATAATACAGTTCATCAGTCCTTAAAGGCACACTGGAACAGCCAAGTTTTCAAGCTCTTCCTAAAAACTGCCGGCTTGCCTAATTTATCTGGGGAGTGAATTCCAGAGCCGAGAGGCCATCGCAGAGAAGGCCCTCTCCCTCATCCCCACAAGTCGCACTTGCGATGGAGCCGGGAGTGTGAGGAAAGCCTCTCTGGAAGATCGAAGGGATAGTGTAGGTACATAAAAGGAAATGCGGTCACGCAGGTAGGCGGATCCCAAACCATTCAGGGCATTGTAGGTAAGTACCTGCACCTTGAATTGGGACTAGAAAATAAACAGCAGCCAATGGAGCTCCTTAAACAAGTGGGTAGACTGCTATGATGGAACGTAAGTTCACCTGGAGCTGGAGCGCTCACCTGTTCGCTGCATTTTGATGGTGGGCCGGGCGAGGGAGAGGCCAGCCGCTGGTCCAGGAACACTTCCTTCTCGCAGGCGTAGCACCAGACGCGGAACGTTGTCAGGTTGACCGTCAGGTTGTGCTTTTTGGCCTAGCGGGTGTGGAAAGGAAGCCAAAGAGGAGTCAATGTGTTGGATTCACGAGGAAAATTATCATGTTTTGAAGCCTCTTGAATCCTTTCCTTTTAGAAAAGCCTTCCAAAACAATGTCAATAGGGTACAGGTGAACCCCTTAGGTCGGTATTTCAGGTAAACAGTGCGAACGGTGATCTCAAAATGACCCCACAGCTGTATTTGTATATTAAACACAGTTGACATATGTTTAATTCTATTTTAATATTTGTATGTTGAGGATTTTGTGACTGGACGATGTTTTTAATGAGGAGACCCTAAGGATATATGTTTTTCCACATGTGGTGGTCATGTGCTAAGGCTAGGATATATTGGAGAAAAATACATAAGATACCACAAGAAATATTAAATATGAGAATCCCATTTGAACCAGAAATATTTCTACTAGGAATGACAGCACAAAAAATGGAGAAAAATACAGATGAAATCCTCTTTCTGCTAAATACTGCAGCAAGAATATGTTATGTGAAATTGTGGAAAAAAAGAAGATATACCAGAAATTAGCGACTGGATAGAAAAAATGATAGACATTAAAAACATGGACAAGTTAACATATCTAATAACAAAAAATAAAGGGACCCCAATAAAAGAGACTGACTGGACAACAGTAATAAATAACTTGAAACAAATAAAGGACATATAATAACATGAAGGAAAGAGAAAATAAGAGTGAAGAAGGAGATGAGAAGAAATAAAGAAGAGGAAAAACCACCAGGAAGATACTCAAGAAGTCAACAAAGGAGTTACACAACAATCTGCTCCTATTTTTATTATTTTTCACTTCCTTTTTTCTTTTTTTTCTTTTCCCTTTTCCTTCTTTTCTTTTTAGCACTATCCTATATCTGCACAAAACAGAAAATTTTCTCAATAAAGATGATTTTTTTAAAAAAGGATATATGTTTTTATTGATTTTATTGATTCTGTGATGGTTTTATTATTCAACTGTTTTATTATATTGAAATTGTATTTTATGGTCTTGGTACCAACTGTAAACCGTCCTGAATCACCTGCGAGCTGAGAGGGACGGTATATGAATATAGTAAATAAAATAAATAAATAAATTTTAATGCCATGAGCCACTTTGAGTTTCTGTAGAGAGATAAAAGCACGGTGACAATTACAAATGTGATGAGTACTATATAAGGGTCCAAAATATCTAAAGGGCTGGGAAGGAAACCCTCCCATTTGTTCAACAGATCCAATTTCTCACCTGTGCATGAAGAGTGCTGTGGTCGGCAAAGGACTCCCCGCAACCGACATAAGGGCAACCAACCTAAAAATACATATTATGTTGAGCAAAAGAAACCTAGAATCCTTCACATGTGATATGTCCCAAAAGGAGAATCTATATATATAAACATGCTCTGTGCATAATGAGTTCCTTAAAAACAAAAGAACCAATGAACGAAATCACACCAAATTTGGCAACAAAACGTCTCACAACACAAGGAGTGACCATCACTCAAAAATTAGGATTTTGTCATTTGGGAGTTGTAGTTGCTGGGATTTATAGTTCACCTACAATCAAAGAGCATTCTGAACTCCACTAACGATGGAATTGAACCAAACTTGGCACACAGAACTCCCATGATCAACATAAAATACTGGAAGGGTTTCGTGGGCATGGATCTTGAGTTTGGGAGTTGTAGTTCACCTACATCCAGAGAGCACTGTGGACTCAAACAATGATGGATCTGGACCAAACTTGGCACAAGAACTCAATACACCCAAATATGAACACAGATGGAGTTTGGGGAAAATAGACCTTGACATTTGGGAGTTGTAGTTACTGGGATTTATAGTTCACCTACAATCAAAGAGCGTTCTGAACCCCACCAACAACAGAATTGGGCCAAACTTCCCACACAGAACCCCCATGACCAACAGAAAATACTCAAGGCCATCCAGTCCAACTCCCTTCACCAGGGCAAGAAAACGTAATCAAAGCCCTCCTGACAAAGAGCCATCCAGGCATAGATATAGATAGATATGATTCACACACACACACAGATATAGTATCATAGATTTGAAAGGAACCCCTGAAGAAGGACAATTATATGTTGCATGTTCCAGAGTAGGCAAACCAGACATCTCCACATCAACACTGACAAAGAAACAGCAAGAAATACTGTTTACCCACAAGCATGAAGACATTACATATATTAGAAACCAACACTTTCTCATTACTTTATTTTCCAGATCACAGACTGGGCCACAGCAACGCGTAGCAGGGGACAGCTAGTGTTTTATATACAGCCGTCCCCAAATTACAAACATCCGACTTACAGAACCCAACTTTGGTATGGCCTGTAGTATAATTTGACAACACACAATTGTCTAGATCTCACAGCAGGAAGAAAATACATCTGAGATATTTTAAAGCAGTGTCTCTACCTGAAGGCAGGCCCACAGGTTGGGCCCTCCGGCGCCGCAAGACTGGCATGTTCCCTGTTTGGGCAAAAAAAAAGGGGAAACGTAATCGTTAGATGTCAATAACAGTGAACCTCAGTTGATTTCCCTTTAAGAATGAGCCTCGAGTGCGGAAACTTACCTTGGATTTGAGGAGCAGATCTTCCTTGGTCACTTCACCTATGGAGTCCAGGTGAGGGCAGGCATCTCTCAGGTCGCCCATTCTGTTACCTGGAAAGAAGGAAAGGCACAATAAAAAGTAAGCTTGTTTTCATGCCCAGCTTGACTTGTTGTTCCGGTCTCAAATAAGCAGGTTTGGACTTTAATACGGCTTTGCCAGCTATGGGCCATCTGGGATTGCCGTAGGGTTGCCGTAAGTCGGAAATGACTCAAAATGCGTACAACAACAAAGCATTTCTCAGCTACCATTCCCCTTTATTGCCACAGCTATTGTAACCATTTTATTTGTGTTTTACCTTTCCCACAACAATGAGACTCAAAGAAAAAAAAGATATCATTATCATCATAATTATTAATAATTACATCCCACTTGCATATTATTTATTTATGGATATTTATATGCCGCCCTTCTCACCCCAAAGGGGACTCAGAGCGGCTGATTTTATTATGCTATGTTATATTGTTGATTTTATATGTTGTTTCAGATTTTTGTTATGATGTATTTTTGTTATTTTTGTGTTTAATCATGTTGTATTGTTTTGGGCTTTGCCTCGTTAGCTGCTCTGAGTCCCTTCTGGGGAGATGGTGGCAGGTTATTATTATTATTATTATTATTATTATTATTATATACATATAATATATTATATTATTAGCATAGTACAATATCAGTATTATATTTTACTATATTGTGCTATATCATTATATTGTAATATTAGTAATATTACATGTAATATAAAATATTTAATTATAATGTCATATTATTATTAGGTTTTTATTATTATTTATTAGTAGTAGTAGTAGTATTATATCATATTACATTATAATATAAATATTATATTAGTATTTATAATAAAAAATCACGTGTTAGTCCCTCCCTCTCCCCTTGAATGTCTCTCCATATCCTCTCTCTCTCTCTCTCTCTCCTCTCTCTCTATATTTACACATAATAAAAGTGAAAATCTGTATGTTTTGTGTTTATACAGCACGGGTGTCCATTTACATAGACAGCCTCTCACCTCCACAAACAGTTATAATCCACGGTGCTGAAGAACCACCAAAATACTCCCTCTACTGACACTGCAGGTTACAGTGAGGCACCACATCCCAGTGTTCCTTTCTCTCTCCATGGGTGTGCAATTTGCATGACCCTGCCCACTGCCTCTCCCTTAACTCTTTCCTATGGCGCGCAGCAAACAGAAGAATTATTAGCAACTAAACATACTGGAGGGGGTTGGGAGACTGACTCAACAGGATGGAAGTTGTAGTTCACCCTGCATCAAGAGACAGCACTGTGACCCCCACAGACAATGGGCCAGGACCACATTTGGCACACAGTACTCCCATGACCAACACAACAACACAGAACCCCCATGACCAACACAACATACTGGAGAATTTGCCTTGATATTTGGGAGTTGTAGGTACTGGGATGTATAGTTCACTTTCAATCTAAGAGCACTCTGATCCCCACCAACAATGCACCTGGACCTAACTCACCACACAGAACCCTCATGACCCACTGAACCTACCGAACTAGACCTTCATTTCTGAGAGTTATAGTTCACCAACAACAACAATAGATAGGGACCAAACTTGACAAAAAAATAACCCCTATACTATGCTATCCAAAGCTAAGAAATAGACATATTTGGCTGGAGTGGCATGTAAACAATGTTCCTGTTCCGACTTACAAACAAATTCAACTTAAGAACAAACCTACAGAACCTCTCTTGATCATCACTTGGGGACTGCCTGCATATATGTACACCTTTCCATTCAGTTTTGTCGTTTATGTTTTGGTTTTATTTTGATATAATATGTTGTTCGGGCTTGGCCCCATGTAAGCGCCTCCGAGTCCCCATCGGGGAGATGGTGGCGGGGTATAAATAAAGTTTATTATTATATTATTATTATTATTTTCATCCATTCCCACAACGAAAATAAAACCTATAGATATAGGTACATACTTCAGAACTGATGACTAAATACACTCTTAAGCCAAACCTAATTCACACCCGAGGTATTTCCTCTCCCAGCTAATTCAATTCTACTCTCCAAATCAATGCTTCCCCCACCGTGCTGTGTCCCAAGCACAAATTCAGCCATCCATGGTTTGAAAAATAATTTTTTTAATTGGGGAGGGGATCCGTTCTATATCAGGAGCTTCATCTTACTATGAGCATGCAAATCTCAGGCCGCAGCACAGCTTCAGGTAGGGAATAGATTCCGATTATTTTCCTGCCTCCTGCCAGAAATAAAACCTCCAAGCGGTCACGTGATAGTGAGCAGCTGATTGTTCCTCCCAATAAATGAACAAGCCATTATTCATCATTTTTCCTCACAGAAGCATCCCTGTCACTCTCCTTTCTGCCCTTGGCTTCCCATTTCTCCTTGTGCCACCATCTTCCCAATATTAAGAGTCTTGTGTGTGTGTGTGTATATATAGATATAGAGAGAGAGAACACACACACACATATATATATACATACACACATAAAAACTGCTTTCAATTTATGGTTAGACATTATAAACACAAAGACTATATATATATATATATATATATATATATATATATATATATAATATTGATATAGTAATATATAATACTGATATTGTACTATGCTAATAATATAATATATTGTATGTATATATATATTGTAAGCTGCTCTGAGTCCCCTTAATTATATACTTTATATTACATGTAACATTACTAATAATATTACAATATAATGGTATAGTACAATATAGCAATATTTAATACTGATATTGTGCTATGGTAATAATGAAATATATTGTATGTATATATATCTTGTATGCCGCTCTGAGTCCCCTTTGGGGTGAGAAGGGCGGCATATAAATGTCGTAAATAAATAAATAATAGTAGTAATAATAATACTAATAATAATTGTGTCTCCTGCACTGGGCTAATAATATAATATAATATAATATAACATATTGTGTATACATATAATATTTATAATGTTATAATGTATTACAATATAATACTAATAATACGATATTATAATTATATATTTTATATTACATGTAACATTACTAATAATATTACAATATAATGGTATAGTACAATATAGCAATATTTAATACTGATATTGTGCTATGGTAATAATGAAATATATTGTATGTATATATATCTTGTAAGCTGCTCTGAGTCCCCTTCCGGGTGAGAAGGGCGGCATATAAATGTCATATATATGGAGCCTCCAGTGGCGCAAGTTGTTAAACATATGTGTGTATATATTTGTGTATATATATATTGCATACAATATGTTAGTACAAACAATATTTATTTATTTATTTATTACATTTATATGCCGGCCTTCTCTCCCTGAAGGGGACTTAGAGTGCCTTACAAGATATACATACATACAATATATTATATTATTAGCATAGTACAATATCAATATTATATATTACTATATTGTACTAATATGTTAATACAAACAAAATTTATTTATTTGCAACATTTATATGCCGCCCTTCTTACCCTGAAGCGGACTCAGAGCGGCTTGCAAGACATATATATATACACATTATATTATCAGCATAGTACAATGTCAGTATTATATATTCCTATATTGTACTATACCCTTATATTATAATATTATTATTATTAATAATAATAATACATGTAATATAATATAATTATACTATTGTATTATTAGTAGTAGCTTTATTGTATTACATTATAATATTATAAATATTATATGTATATACAATATATTATATTATAAAACTAGCACACACATATATATATATAAACTACATGCAATATATTAATTCCAAATATTTAAGCTATATATATATATAAAGAGAGAAAGAGAGAGCTTATATATTTGGTGTATATATATATATAAGTTGCATACAAAAATATAAGCTATAAATATACAGAGAGAGAGCGCTTATAAGTTTGGGGTGTGTGTGTATATATATATATATATATATATAGCATACAAATATATAAGCTATATATATAGAGAGAGAGCTTATATATATTTGATATATGGCATACAAATATATAAGCTATATATAGGGAGAGAGAGCTTATATATTTGGCATATATATATATATTGCATACAAATATATAAGCTATATATAGAGAGAAAGAGCTTAAATGTTTGGTATATATATA